CAGCTAAAAATTGTATCTTATCCATGATACAACTTACCACGCTGCAAATAGAAATATACTTCTCTTTTTCTTTCGAGAATTCTAGTAGACACATTTGTTGAGAATATCACAAGTGCATCAATCACACCTAGAATTATTGTTGATCTACGGAACAAAATTAGTATTAGTATAATTATACATCAAGAAAAAAAAATGCAATTGAACACTATTGCAGCACAACATTGATAAATGGAGCCTCGTAAAACTACTTTATGAAACATCATTTTAAAAAATAACTAACTCTTGAATATTCTTATAAACAAATGATGACCGCAAAAAAGTTTTCAGAATCAATAAAATACCAATTGAAAAAAGAAAAAACAGTTTTTTTGGTAAAAGAATTACAAATAATAACACACAGTCTTAAATAATATATCAGCATATGAACCAATTAAAATCAATAGCATTTCACAAACAAACAAAAGATGGAAATTATCTTATGGTGCGAATTGATAGTTTTTCAAAGCGTACGACCAGATCATGTATGCCTCATAATTAGTTAGGTTAGTTGGGCGTGATCAATGTATCTATATACCTCAACTCGTTAAACATCAGCGAAAGTTCATTATTTTTCAATATGATATAAGTGAACTTGTTGATATAACCTTCAAAATTTATATATAATGTTGTTTTAACAAAAAATTTGTACAAAAAATCTAACAATTGTATGCTCAGAATTGATCTTATTACAAATGGAGAATCTCAAAAAACTATCAATAAATTAATATTTCCAAACTAAATCATAAATACTTCTAACAGAATAACAAATGGAATTCAAAGCAAGTAGATAAAAAAAATGATTAGATACAGGACAACGTTAAAATGTCTTCAAGAATTCAAGTAGATCAGGTTAGTAAAACAATAAAAGAAATCATGAAATCAATTGAAAAGACAAAATATTGGATTGGTAAACAACTAAAAATTACGTGCTATTTACAGATTTTGATCTTCGTTCCATTTCCTCCTATTGTATCTTCTTTGATTCATCTATTACCAGTAAAGAAAATGGAATCGGTTGTTCTTGAGAAGATCCATAGGCATGGTAGTTTGTAATGTTATTTTATTCAAGGAAAAGATAAATATATACTGAGATGGGATATGCAGTTTGTAGCAGAGTAAGGTGTTATAATAATAAATGCATCATTACCTGTTTAGTAAAATGTTGACAACAAGTTTCATTTTCTGCTCCATTGCCAAAATTTCCGTAGAAAAATGAGTTTTCCACCAAAACATCAAAAGAATGTGCTACTTCTTCAGACATTATCTACAATTTCAAATAAACATATTTGAGATAAATGTATGGAAATATGTATGTTGTGCTTCATTTTCATGTATTCTGGGAATATCCCACAACAGTACCTGATCAATCATCTTGTACTTAAGAACCTTCTCTTTATCAACAATCTTGATTACCACACTTACAAACCACTTAATGCCCATCAATATTCTTCATGGGTTCAATCATGAAACTTTTGCACACTCCCCAATTTTATAAACAAAAAAGGCAAAACATTTTGGTTTCCCAGTCTTCTTATCAGACTTTAGAACTAACAATTAGACAATTTAGAGGTAACTTCTACTATGACAAACTATATAAACAAATGGAGGATGAGAAAGCTCCCCATAATCCTACGCTTGAACATCTTGATATGTTAATATTTCAGTTTCACAAAAGAACTAC